GGGGAGGGGGCACCCCCCCCGAGCGACACCCCGAGGGAGGAAGGCATTCGCGTGGTCACGCACGCGCGTGCCCCCCTCGCCCCTCTCCTCCACGGGCGCCGGTGTCTCATTCCCCGCCGGCAGTGGGCGCGGCCGAGCTGGATGCCCCGGCACCGCCGCCACCCGACACGGTCAGGTTCGAGAGCATGGCCGTGATGTCCGGCGAGCAGGTCAGCCGGGATGTGATGTTCCCGAGCAGGAAGCAGGCATTGCCGCCGGTCGAATCGATGGCGACCACCTGCTGGACGGAGTCGCTGTCCGGTGCGCGGTCGATGTTGAACCACAGCCCCGGGCCCAGGCGCAGACGCATCCGGCCCGAGGCGTGGACATACAGCTTGCCCAGCTGGCCGTCCGGCAGGTTCTGGATGTACGGCGAGAAGTTGGTCGCCACCGGGGTGGTGTCCGGGAGGCCGAGGGTCCCGGCGGCCGCAGCAGCGGCGGCCGCTGCCGCGGCGATGCCACCGGGCGAGGTCATGGGGCTGGTCAGGCTGGAGCCGGAGCTCGATACGCCGGAGGAGGAGGGCGTGGCGGACGTGGTGTCAGACGCGGACTCCGGGCTGGCCGATGTGTCGCCGGAGGCCGGCTCATCGCGCGGTGCGCCTGGCAGAACCGCCGGCAGCTGGACAAAGAGCAGACGCTCGTCCAGGCCAAGAGACCCGGAGAAGAGCGAGGCTGCAGCCGAGTCGGGAGGATACTGCCATCGGGCGATGGGGCAGTGCAGGAGGGGGGGAAGGGTGGTCCGGGCTGGGGTCAATGTCAAGGAAGATGTGTGTGTGTGTGTGTGTTTGTGTGGGAGAAAGATAGAGAGGGGGAGGAAAAAAGAGGGGGGTGCACGCACACGCAAGTCCACATGCGACTGGTGCGGGAACGGATCAAAGGAGGGGTAGGGAAGGCTAGTTGGGGCAATGGGATTTAGCGAGCCATCCGGCAGGGCGAAGGCCAGGGCGGCGTCCACGCCGTCATCGATCTCCTTCGGCGAGCCGGGCAGATCCTTGTCCTCGTCCTCACTGTCACTGCGATCCATCTCGCCAGTGTCACCACCGGGAGGAGCGAAGGAGCTGCCGCCGGAGCCGATGCCGCCCCCGCCGCGGCCGCCACGGCCGCCGCCCCAGCCGCGCCCGGCACCCCCGCCGCCGCCGCCACCGGAGGATGTCCGCGTCGGGCCGCCCTGGCCGATGAAGGCCACTTCGCCGTGCTCAGGCTGGAAGGGTCGACCACGCCCACGCCCTCCACGTGCTGCTTGCATGTGTGTGTGTGTATGTGTGTGCGACACTCGAGCATGTTAGCAAGCCGGAAGGCACGGAGGAAGAAGGAGACAGGGGAGGCGAGGATCCCAGCGGACGGGAGATGCACGTACCGGCGGAGCCAGGGCCGCCACCACGCCCGCCACGCCCGCCGCGCCCGCCGCGCGCTGGGGCGCTCGGTGCGGCCACCTGCGCCAGCAGGCTGTTGGGCTTGTTTCGGCGTGCGGGGATGGTGGGGGCAAAGCGACCGCGCCCGGGGCCGGCCATGCCAAGGCCCGGGCCAGCCGCCGCCGCCCCCAGAGAAGCCCCGCCAGGGCCGGCCGCCGCGCCGACAGCCGGCTTCAGGGAAGAGAGGCGTCCGGCCGCGGCGCCGGGGCCGGGGCGAGCCGCGCCACGGGCCACCGGCCGGGCGGTGCCACCACGACCGGCCGCCGTGGGGGGAGGGGGCTTATCAGACATTGGGACAGTCCGGCGTCCGGGGGGTTGGAACGGGGGAGGGGGGGGGGGCAAAGAGGAAGAGGGGAAGGGGGAGAGCGAGAGGCAGAGAAGAGAGGGGTGGCAAGAGCGCGGAGGGGCCAGGAGAAGGGGAGGAAGTGCTTGTAGGGAGCGCCCCGGGGCCCGGCAGTCGGCCGGCCCTTGAGGAGCAGCGAGGCATCGCCCCGGGGTGGCACTGTACGCACAGCGTGCCCGGCCTGGGTGTGCGCGTCCAAGCCATCTTCGGGCCCGCTCCATCTTCGCTCCGCAAGTGCGGGGGGGGGGGGGGGGGTGCACGGCCCTATGGTTGGGGCGAGCCACACCGCCGCGCACGCATCCCCCCCCCCTGAGCGCCGCACGGACGCACCCAGCGCGGCCACGGCGGCATGGCCACAGAGCCACCGGGAGCGGCGTACGATCTCCCCTGCGCATGGGCGGCGGGCGGACGGGCGGGCGGGGTGGGGGATCGGTGTCGGGTCACGCGACGGCGTGTCCCGTGCACATGGAAGGCCATTCCAGTGGCATGTGACATGGAGGTGCTCCACAAAAACCGTTGCAATCTAAAATCGGTAACCGTCCGGCCCCTTGCGCACACGCTTGTCGAGGCGCGACAGGGCCCCGCCCCGCCCTGCCCCCGCCCCCATTCCTCCGGAGTGCCTGCCCCCTTTCCGACGAACAACAGCCGGGAGCGCCGGGGCCGGCTGGCTTGCCGGCACCGCCGCTAGACAGGGTCGACTACCCTGCGCCACGCCAGGGCTGGCGATCGGGATCGGCATGTCCCTCCCCTGCCAGGACAGCGGCGACCGGGAGGGGGGAGGAGGGTGACGAGGCGGAGGGGGGATGGGGGGGGGGGACACGGGGGGGACGATACTCCCGTGCCTGTTTGCCGCCTGTTTCTTCTTTTCTTTTGGCGCGCCATCCCATGTGCATCCCATCTGGAGGAGACGCATCCCTCCTCTCCCCCCTCTCTCTCCCCCCCCCCTCCCTCTCCTCGCCCTCCCTCTTGCCTTCCTGTCTCCCTCCCCCTCTTTGTCCCTGTCACCGGTCGCAGAGAGATCTCGCGTCCGCCGCACTGTCCGTCGACCATGTTCGCCACGGCCAACTATGCCGAGGAGCGAGGTGCGCTTTGATTCTCGGCCGCACCCTATGCCGCGTGCTTGTGCCCCCCTGGCGACGTCCCGCTTGCTCACACCCTCTGCCGGTCTTTCTCCCTCGGTCTTTCCCTCTCTCTCTCTCTCGCTCGCTCGCTGTGCGCCACTGATCGCAGGCAAATGCGAGCAGATGCTCCAGAAGTTTTCCGTCCTCTCGATGAACCCGGAAGATCCGCCCCAAAAGAAGTACCTTGAGATGATTGTGCGGCGTCTCCCACTCATGCCTCTCCGCCTCGCTGCCGCCCCGCCCGGGCTTTGTCCGCCCCACGGCGATGTTTCGCCCGGCCTTCGTGCTAACACGCCTGCACCTTCAGGCCGAAGTAAACGCCCAGCAGCGCACCTCCTTCCCGATCAGCCTCGACGATGTGTCTTCCGTACGCCCCTGTCCCCATCCTTGCCGGCCGGTTTGCAGTCTGGCTGCGCTCGCCTCACTGCCTCGGTCTACTCACGCACACATGCACACACACACACACACACACACACACACACTCCCTCCCTCCCTTCCTCCGTCCTCCCCTCGCCTGGACTGCGGTCCAGTTCTTTGGCGAGTCGAGCGAGCTCCTCAGCAATATCCTGTGCAACACGCGCCGCTACGTGGAGCTCTTCTCCGAGGCCATTGACAACCTCCTGCCGGCGCGCAGCAACCGCATCAGCGATGACGATGATGTGATCGATGTCCTGGTGTCGCAGCGCATCCAGCAGGTGGCGGCCGGCGAGCAGGTCGACCTGAAGACCATCTTCCCGCGGGAGTTGCTCCGGCGCTTGTGCGTCATCTTTGCTCCACGTGCACGCTCTTCGGCCCCCGTTGGTCCTGATGCTCGGCTGCTGACTGGCCTGCTGGCCCTCCCTTTGTCGGTGCATCTGCCCCGGCCTTTGCCATGCTGCCCCCCCCCCCCCCCCCCGTCACCCCTCCGTCCTTCTCGCCGCCGGACGCAGCTCCGTCACTTTTACCCCCCTATCGCACATGAAGCCGCATGCCATCCGCGAGATTCGGGCTAGCTCGGTCGGAGCGACGGTCTTCCTGCGAGGCATTGTCACCCGGACGACGGACGTTCGCCCGCAGATGGTCGTGGCCACGTACAGTTGCGAGCGCTGCGGCTTCGAGACCTACCAGGAGGTCATCTCACGGACCTTCCGCATGATCGACAACTGCCAGTCGGAGCGGTGCACCAGCGACAAGACCCCCGGGCGGTTGACGCTGCAAACGCGCGGATCCAAATTCATCCCCTTCCAGGAGATCCACATCCAGGAACTCTCGAACCAGGTGCCCATCGGGCACATCCCCCGGTCGATGGCCATCCATGCGTTTGGCGAGCAGACGCGTGTGGCCAACCCGGGTGACATTATCCACGTGTCGGGGGTGCGTTTTGTCTGCCTTTTTTGTGTTCGCTGCTGTTGCTGCTGCTGTTGCTGCTGCTGTTGCTGCTGCTGCTGCTGCTGCTGTTGCTGCTGCTG